TCAGAGGGAAGGGGCTGATGTGGGGGATCCTCGTAGATAAGAGTCCTGGGGCTGCTTAGCCTGGCATCCTCCCCAGAGTGGGCCCAGGGGGCTCTGATCTGGCTCTCCAGCTGGCAAGGATCTACTGCCTGCCAGGAGGTGCGGTTTGAGAGAGGCATGTTTCAGGGACACAGCCACAGCCACCCTTTTCCTGGCGCCTGTGGCCCTTGCCTTGAGCTGCCCGCTTGTTCTGAGGCTGCAGGGGAACCTGAACCCCTCCTGCTCCTCCCCATGTCTCCCATTTCCTGTTTGCTTTATAAACAGTGTCTACAGTTTACATAGGGCATTAACCCTATCACCTAGTTCCATGCACAGAACAACCCATTGAGGGTAGGTACTGGTACTGTACCTCTTTACAAATGAGGAAACTGAAGCTCAGAGAGGTTAAGTGTCCTCCCCAGGGTCACAGAGCTAGTAAGGGCAAAGCAGGACTGGACCTCAGACCCTCAGACTTGAATCTTCTGCTTTTGCATCTTGAATCACAGGCAGCTGAGGCCAGTGCCCTGTCCTATGGCACCAGGCCTGGGGCAAGTACTCTCGTCAGGGAGACTCTTTTCTAAAGCACGCGGCTGACTAGGGCTGAGTGCCCCACAAACAAATCCAGCAGAGGCCAAGAGTGAGCACCATGGCTAGAGTAAAATCAGGCAGCTCCTGGAGGGTCAGAGATGGTTGGGTAGAACTGGGGTTGGTGGAAGAAGCGAAGGCATTCCAGGCACGGGGAGCAGCTAAGGCAAAGGCTTGGAGGTTAAGAAGCTACATAGAACAGTGTGGTGGGCACGTGGTGCCCTCAATACATATGTTGACTCATGAACGTGGCCTGGAACAGGGGGGTTATATGTCAGGGAACTTGGGAACTCAGATTGTCAGAAAGACTGAGCTTGAGTTTGGCCTTTATTCTGTAGGCAACAGGGACCCATTGAAGGTATTGGAGCAGGGGGCTGACTTGGCAAAAACCTCATTTCGAAGTTTAAGTTGGCAGGCAGAATCAGGCAGGAGCCAGGGGTCCATCCAGGTGGTAGTTGGAGGAATGCAGGTGTGGGGAAGGGCTCCAAGGACCTGCCAGAACCCTAGCAGATCCAGCCAGGGGCTCTGAGTAATAAGGGGCCCATCCCTGGATAAGACTGTTACAAAGCCCCCTTCCAACCTGGGAGGGGCTCTCCTCTCTAGAAGGGGTACACCCCTTCTCCGTGCCTCTGTCAAACCCTTCCCGTCTGAAGACTAGAGCCTTCATCCACTGCCCCTGCCCCTCCTCCTCCTTTGGGCTGACTCCTCCAGCCCCCAATTTTCCAGGCCTTGGCTGGGAGGGGATCCAGAGCAGCCTCTGTGGGATGACATCACCTACCGGCCTGCCTGCCGAGTGGTTTCTCATCTGGATACCTGCTCGCCTCGTACGCCTGCCCGCCTGCCCGGGCAGCCCTGTGCAGGCAACATCCTGAGAGGCAGATGCCAGAGAGAGGGAGCTGGGAGCCTGCATGTGCTGGGGGAGGGGAGTGCAGCCAGGAGGGCAGAGTGTCTGTGTGTCCGTCTGTCCGTCCCACAGCCTTTGGAGCAGCCTCCAGGAGGTGCCACTGCCTGTCTTCTGTGCTCTGGAATCCCTGGAGAATGTTCTCTTTTCTACCTATGTTCTGAAATGTCAGTCTTCAGAAAGCTTAGGCCAATTTTCCAAGGGGCTCAGGGGCCAGGGCAGTGGGGTGGGATTTTTCCCCTCTTTGAAATTTTGCCTCAGATTCCCTTGGCTTGGATTAAATTAAGCTGAGGTCTCTCCACTCCCCAGCACCCCAGCTTGTCCTCTCTAGCAGCTTTTGGCCACAAACTCATCGCTCCTTGCTCTTCTGTGCCTCTGTTTCCCTGTCTCGCCTTTCCCCCTTCCACAGTTGTCCAGTTTTCCCAAATGTCAGAGGTGAGGCCCTGCCTGGTTTAGCTCTAGTGACTTCTGAAACAAACCACTAAATCACTCCATTCATCTCTCTGCCTATTTGTTCATTTCATTCATTCATCTTGCACACACTTACTGAATGCCTACTACCTAATAGGCCCTGTGGTCTGCTCAACAGATGTAGCAACGGTCAACAAGGAACCCACACTCCAGTCTTTATTAAATACCAACTGTATGCTGGGTCAAAGATAGGGTAAGGCAGGGTCCCTCTGGGAACCAGGGATCAATGGCTCTCTGCAGGCAGCATATAGTAGAGAAGTTCAGAACACGAGCGACCCCCTGTTGGTGGGTGTGGGTTCAAGTCCCAGCTGTGTGACCTTAGGAAAACTGCTTACCCTCATGAGCCTCAGTCTGCCTATGTATAAAATGGGTCTATAACAGAACCTACCACAAAGGCTTGTTGTGAGGATCCAGCGAGACAATAAAATGACTCAGTCAGGTGCTTGGCATTGTGTTGACTGTGAGTGAGCTCCTGAGGGTCTGCTGTTAATTGTCAGTATAATCTGGGCTCTTGGGGTTTGGAAGCTCTCTGACCCGCTGGGAGCTCCTCTTTTCTGTTTGTAGCCTGAGTTTTCCTTTCCCACAAACTGAAAGGAAGCCCCTGTATCTCAAAGGGCAGGGGCTGGGCCTTTTTGTGTTAGGTTCACTGAAGAGGTGCTCTTGGCCACCGAGGCACTGCCGTCCCCCCATGGGTACAGCGAGCGGGAGGTAGTCTCTGTCAGCACCATGCCCGGTGCTGCCTCTGTCGGGCCGGCAGGGGCAGGCGCAAAAGCTGGCCCCATCTGAGTGCAGAGTGGGCTGGCCCTGCTGCCCAGCTGTTGGTCGCATTTCTGCCTGAAATCCGATCCAGGCTTTGGTGGGGCTGCCTGGGGCTGTGCGTGTGCGGATCCATGTGGCAGGGCTCGCCAGGGACAGGGTCCCTTCTGGGGCTCCAGAGGGTTGAGCTGGGGCTCCGGGGCCCACCCCTCATGGGAGAAAACCGTCAGGGGCAGTGGGTTTCTTTCCTTCTGTTGCTCCCTGCCCTGGGTTGGATGGGGCCTTCCTCACAGAAAGACCCAGAGGTCTAAGCGGTGCCTCCCTCCCCTGGCTGCACCTGGGAACCACGGGGGAGGAGGGAGTGTCCAAAAAATACCGACCAATTAAATCGGACCTCTGGGGGTGGGACCCAGGCTTCGGTATTCTTTCAGAGCCCCCCAGGCAATTCTGTGGAGCCAAGTTGAAGATCACTGTGCTGGAAGAATGGGTGCCCGGAAACAGAAATCTGAGGGGCAGTTCTTTAATGGAAAGAGAGATGGGCTTGAACCTAAAACACTGAGTGAGTTTGGTTCTCTTCATAGCAGCTGTGTGAGCTGAGGCAAGCCTCTTGCCCTCTCTGGGCCTCTGAGTTTTTTTTTTAATAAAGATTTTTATTTATTTATTGAGAGAGAGAATGGTAGAGAGAGAGCATGAGAGGGAAGAAGGTCAGACGGAGAGGCAGACTCCCTGCTGAGCAGGGAGCCCGATGCGGGACTCGATCCCGGGACTCCAGGATCATGACCTGAGCCGAAGGCAGTCGCTTAACCAACTGAGCCACCCAGGCACCTGAGTTGTCGCTTGTGAAATGGGAAGGTAGAAAGGTTGTGGTGAGGATAAAATGGGACAGGGTACGTGCCTGACACAGGCCATGTGCCGAGTTAGACTCAGGTGTGTAAGGAATGTGGCTGTAGGCTAAAGGACCAAGGGAGCTGTAGGGAACCTAGGGACCCTCTCAGCCATTTCTATAGCCATGCAGGTGGTGGGTCCCCTAGGCTTCCAGGAGATTGACAGATGTATAGGGTGGTAGACACATAGTTAAAGTGTGGTAGGAATTCCCTTTGGGCTGCGGGTGGTCTGGGAAGGCTTCCTGTAGGAGGTGACCAATAGGTCTCTGGTTTGTGGTTCCTTTCAGCTCCTAGCAGGGCATGCCCTGTCTTAGGTGTTTTGTCCCCACCTCTGGGAGCCTACAGCCCATCTGCCCTCCTTCTGCAGAGCCCCACCTTTTGACCGCTCAACTGCCAGAGGCTTCCCAGAGCCTGACCACAAAGCCCAGCACTACAAGGTAGAGGGAGACTGAATCAGTCTCCATGTGGCCGGAGGGCAGCCACCAAGCCGGAGTGAAGCCGGGCTAGGGCTGGTCTGTCTGCACCAGGCCCCTGGGCTCAGTGGCAGCGCCTTGGTGAGCCGAACTTGAGGAAAAGTTGGCGGGGGGCGGGCTGGGCTTGCCTGGCTGCTGGCGCTGGGACTTTCTTCTTGGGTTTCAAGTAAACAGTCTCGGCCCTCCTCCCCCTCCCCTGCCTCCACCCCTGGCTCCTCATTCGATGGGTCTCATGTGTTTCTATTTAAGGGTTGCGAGTAAACCCCAGTGATTGGCGGCCTCAAACCCTCTTGACTTCTCGCCTGGGCCCGAGCTGTGGAGACTTCTCTGCTGCTCGCTCCCTCTCCCTCCCGAGGGGAGGACCGCTGCCTCTTTTCTCTGGGTTCACAGAGGCTGGGAGGAGAGGCACGAGCCCTCCTCCTTGCCTTGCCTTTCTCTCTCTCTCTCTCTCTCTCTCTCCCTCTCCCTCCCTCCTCCCCCCCCTCCGCTCGGCCTCAGCCCTCATGGGCGGCCCTCCCGTCGCGCCCCTGCCAGCCGAGGGGTCTGGGGAGACCACGTCCGCACCAGGCCTCTCCTCCAGCTCGCTTGTGCCGGGCTGTGACTGACTCATCGCAGCGGCGGGCTCTTCCTCTCGGGTTCCCGGGCCTCCGCTCGGCCCGGCTGTCCCCCTCCCCCCCCCCTCCGGCCCGGCTCCCCATGTCCCCCGGTCCCCGCCGTGCAGCGGGCCGGTGTGGGGCCTTGCTATATGGCCTGTCCTTGGGGCCCGGCGAGCTGCGAGCCCCGGCTGCGGGCGGCCCCTCGGAGCGGCAGCGGCGCTGGCGACCGAGCAGCCTCCCCCGATGGACAGGGGGCGCCCCGGCCGCGGGGCCATGGCCGGCCGCTGGCTCACCGCATGCTTTCTGCCCTCGCCAGGTGCCGACACCAACGCCGAGCCCATGATCCTGGAACAGTACGTGGTGGTGTCCAACTATAAGAAGCAGGAGAACTCGGAGCTGAGCCTCCAGGCCGGGGAGGTGGTGGATGTCATCGAGAAGAACGAGAGCGGTGAGTGCCCAGATGGCCGGCCTGGCTCCCGGGATGGACAGACGGGCCGGACGTCTGGCTGGTTTTGTTCCCTACCTCCTCCCCCACCTCTGCAGCTGTACTCTGTTTCCATCTGGTGGGGGAGAGGGCTGAGGAGGCCGAAGTTTCCCCTGTTGGTTTGGGCTGCAGGCCAGCATTTTGCCTGGTGGTGGAAGAATGTCTCCCCAGCCCCAGGGAAATGAACCGGCTTGTGTGCATGCAAGGCCAGGGTGGCAGAAGCCGGTACAACAGCCCAGCCCCTGTTTGGGGTCCCCGTGCCCACTGAGGCCACAGGGAAGGTGGCTCCTGGCTCAGGGGGCACCTTAGGGCAGCTTCCCCTGTTGGCGCCATCTTCCAAGCCGGGGTCTGGGCAGGGGCGAGATAAGCCGACTAGCTGGTGGGGAAGGCTGGCCATGACGTCACCCCACGGGTTGTCTCAGGAAAGGCTAGGCCTGTGGGATTTGGCTAGTGTCTGGGTGGTGAGCTGACTGCCCCCTGCAGAGCTGAAGGCTGCCAGGACCTGGGAAGAGGGCCCAGACAGGGGGAGAAGGGGGCCAGGGAGGGCCCTACCACAGCCGCCCTGTCATTGGGAGCTGAGGCTTTGTCTCGTCTGGGGCCCTGCCCGTGGCTCTCCAAGGGCTGCTGGTTCCACGGTCCTCACCGGGACCACAGGTGCGGCAGGCATCTCTGCACGTGGAGGGAGGAGCGCCTGAATCGGTCAGTCTGGGGTGCAGGGCCAAGACCTCCATCAGCATTTTGCCTGTATCCTGCTGGGGCTTGAATTGGTTGCTGGGGTGTTTTGTTTTGGTTCCAGTTAGCTGCAAGGGAAGGTCCCTTGCACGGGATCCTCTTTGGGCAGTATTTGGACACTCCCAGAGGGGAGGGGCCTGGTTTTCTTTTCCTGTCCTGCTCAGTTCCCTTCCCTTCCAATATTTTGAGCCCTGAAAGGAGGACAGACCAAAGGATGACTGTACCCATTCTATAGATAGAGTAACCGGGGCACAGACAGACTGAGGGGAAATGAGTCCTCTGAGGGCAAAAGCAGAACAGGGACATACCTGGGCCCCTGATTCCTATGCCTGTGGGCAGCCAGTAGCTGTAGAGATGCTGAGGAAATCCCAGCAGACCTCCTGGTTCCGGAAGGTGAGCTCAGGCTCCTGCTGCAGGAGGCTCAGGAGCTGTGCTCCCTGAGAACAGAGCTGTGATGCCAACATAGGTCTGACTCCTGGCCCTCCTGGGTCTGGGGTCCTGACAGACCTTTCAGAGAGGTCAGGCTTTGTCTTTGTGCTTGGAGTCATTGGCAAGGTGGTTGGCAAAGGCCGTCCCCACCTGGCAGAGCCACACCCCTAGCCTAAGGCCTGAGCCCTTCACCCCAGGCACCTACACTGCTCTGCTACTTGCACACCATTGCCTTCAGCCTTTGTTCTAGTACCACCCCTACCTACTCGTCCCCACCCCTCACCCCGCCTACCCTCTAGGAAGCTGGCATTGTCACAGGGACCTGGCTCTGGAAACCCTGAGCACCTCCAGACCCAAAGGAAGGGATCTTTGATGGTGTCGGAGGCACCTGCTGAGGCAGACGTTTTGGAGCGCGTTCCGAGGGGAGACATGTGCCCACTTCTCTGTATAAGGTCAGGGCTGCTCAGAAGTAGAGTTCTGGCTTAGAGACCCTCCTGCCACCTCCCCTGCCTTGTGTCACCAGCACAGCTATATAACCCCCATGGTTCTGGGTACCAGCCACTGGCCAGGATGGAAAAGACCCCACACAAAAGGAAGTCAGCATGCTCGGAGACTCTGATTCCAGGGACGTCCTCCCTCTACCTTCCCATCCCATACCCAGGATTCTAGGAATACTTGGAAGTCCTACCTAGGAGCCCTGACAGAGTGGGGGCCTGGAAAAAGCGTAGAGACACCTCCGCTCCTGAGGACTCCCTGATGGCTATGTGACTCCCCAGTATGACACACACAGCCTCTGAGGGAGCTACTGTCCCTGGAATTTGGATCCTGCCCACCACCTACTGGCTAGATGGCTGCAAGTCCCTTAATCCCTCTGGGCCTCACTTAATCCTTCTGTAAAATGGAGATAATTTGGTGGCTGCTTAGAAGCAGAAGCTGGAGTAGTGACCTTCCTGAGCCTTCTTCCCAGGTCTGAACTCCATGGCTGGGAGCCCTTTTAGGGCCCTAGATGTCAGGTGGAGAGAGCCTCCCCAAACACAGCTTTTCTCCTTCTCCAGGACTTTTGTATCTTTACTTTTGGTGGAGAGGGCTGCCTAGCAGCTCATGTTTGCACCGGGACCCTGGAGTGCTAGGTCTGCCATGCAAACCCACACTATCTGTTGCTGGCAGAAACCAGGGGGCCTGGCATGTACAGCCAGTTTAACCAGAGAAACTAGGTGGAGGGGAGAGAGCAAGAGGACCAAAGTGCAGATCCCTGGGACAGTGGTTGCCCAGTTCAGGAAGCTGGACGGCTGAGGTGGGGGAGGGGAGGTGTGTTGTGCATCCTGTAAGCTGGCTTTGGAAGGAGTGGTGAGTGAGGGTTTTGAACTCTCTAACAAAGACCCAATTGTTATGCCTCTGACCTTGGGACATGGTGGGCGTGTTAAGGCATTTCCACTCCAATTGTTGAGGCAGTAGCCCCAGTTAGCACCATCCCCACCCTGCAGGGCCTAGCCTTGCCCACTGAGAGCAGGGACTCTGCCTGTGTCCCCTTCTGTCTTGGCTAGAAGTCCCTCGAGTAAAGTGTCCATGGAGGGGTCCACCAACCTCTGGCTCTGCCTGCTCATCCAAGCCCTCTGCCTGGGATCATAGACACCGAGTGATTTGGAGGTGTGGTTTTGCCAGGGCTCTGTAATTTCATTGGTCTAAAGAGAGATGTGTCTGGAAGGCAGTTCAGAGTCAGTAAACAGTAAACAACAATGCCATGTGATATGTTATCATTTTATTAGAATCAGGAAATGACCCCATGCGGTAGAAGGCTCTTCAAAAATTTTGTGGCTCAAGTAACAGACTGAGAGGTTAAGTCATTTTCTTAGAGTCCAACAGCTGAGATCTCTGCCCTCTACAGAGGACGTGGGGGGAAGGTGAGAACAGGCTCATCCCGGGTAGGATCGCCACAAGAAGCTGGTGACACTGCAGGTTGGGGAGAGACGTGGGCTGGGTGAGATGACCACAGGTCTCCCTGGAACATCAGAAGGATGACTCTCTGTCCCACCTTCCAACACGGTGGTCGTAGGTTGTGGGAATTCAGGTTGTTAATTGTTCCTTTGAACTTGGGGCCAAGCAACAGCTGAGAGGATCTGATGTGTACCCAGCACCGAAGACAAGCCTATTCCTGGGAATGTAGGTGGACAGAAGTCAAGGACCCCCAAAGTGAGACCTGAGCGGCTTCAGGGAAATCCTTTTTGATCAAGCAGTGGGCCTGGGGCCGAGCCAGAAAGCACTCTTTTTTCTCCATTCATGAACAGGGACAGATCCAGCAGAGAGATTCAACAGGTTTGCTTGCTTTGACAAGTCACTGTTATCTTGCCCTTGGGAACTCCTCCACCCTTCCCACAGACAGCAGTACCTGAGACCCCTCCTTTGTGGGAAATTCTTAGGCCTCAAAGACCACATTGGCTTCGCCTTCAAGCAGGTATAATCTGGTCTGACTTCTGGCAGCGTGGTGATGGCAGGATCCCAGTTGCTCTGGTCTGTGTTGAGCAAAGCTTGTCTCTAGCTTTCCAGCATTGCTTCCTTCTTCTTAGGACTAGGGGCCCTGGGAGGACGTGGGGCTCTGAGTCACCAGATGCTCATTCTTTTCCTGCCTCTGCTTTCCTTCTCTGAGTCTTTGTTTCTTTTCTGGCCCCAGCATGGTAACACTGGGAGTTCTTACACTTCCTTGGAGGCATGTAGCTATAGGACTAAGATCAAAGCGTTGTGCTGGCAAGGAATTTTGAGCTCCACTGGTCCATGCAGGTGAGGAAACTGTCCAGGTGAGAACACTCAGCCTTGGGGAGTTTGCACATCTCAGTCCTGTCCAAAAATCACTGCTTTAGTCCCAGCTGAGTAGTGAGCAGAGGACAGAAGTCCACTCAGACTTGCTCAAGGGACACCTGAAAGGCTGCAGAAAAATCTCACCGAACCTGAGGATGTGAAGTACGTCCCAGCTTCACGGGCACCGGGGGAACCAGAGAGTTGGCCCGAGCCAGATCAAGGCACCCTGGTCTCCATGTCGCTCTTGGGTGTACCCAAGATGTAGAGCCCCCCGGGATCTTCTCCCTGCAGAGCAGCCTGACTTCTCCTCCTGTCCCCTTAAAACAGCTGCCTATTCACCTGCTGTTGGTCTGTGGCTTCTGGTTCTCTGAGTTCAAAATTTGAAGTCCGAATCTGAATCTGATTGGCCAGCCAGTGACTCGGCAGACCGTAGGTCGGATGTCCTGCCCCGGGCCACTCAGCTGCGTCTGGGTGAAGCCCCGCGGGCTAGAAACATAGCTACCTAGACAAGCACCTCAGCAGTGGCTGTTGGAAAGCAGATTTTTTGTTTTTTTGTTTTTTAAGATTGATTGATTGATTTTGAGAGAGTGAGAATGGGAGAGAGAGCACATGAGAGGGGGGAGGGCCAGAGGGAGAAGCAGGTTCCCCACCCAGAAGGGAGCCCGATGCGGGACTCGATCCCAGGACTCCAGGGTCATGACCTGAGCTGAAGGCAGTCGCTTTAACCAACTGAGCCACCCAGGCGCCCGGAAAGCAGGTTTTAAAGAAAGGAGATATGGAGGGGTAACAAAAAACGTGTTGGGCTGCAAACTATGTTACTTGTTTAGCAGCTATGTGTGTAGTGGAGAAGCAAAGAATCTGGAATCTGAGCACTAGGTTTAAGATCTAATGTTACCCTGACTCTGTGATGTATGTAGGAATCCCTCGGTTTCCTCACCAGTGTAAGGGGGCAGTGATGCACACTGCATGGGCTTTTCTGGAGGAGGCATCAAATGTAACTGTTTATTGTT